CCGATTCCTTTTCTGCACACGTTTTTCAAGTGTCAATCACGAGACTCGACTCAGACCTCGCAGGTCAAACCAGCTCCAGTCCCTAACTTATTTACAACATATGGTTTATAACTATGTCTTTGGTCTTTTTCTATCTTATTAAACTGTTATTTTTCAGGTTTCCTGTACCTTGCGTTTCTGAAGGTTTATCCTGTCCATTTAACGCGGTGAACCAGCTTTTTCACTGCAAAAGTACACAAAGGAAAGGTTAACAAAGATTGCCAGAGATAAAGTTCGATAGACTGTAAACAACAATTCTATTGTCTTTCAGTCAATCATAATCCAAAATCACGATGTGTAATTTGCACTGGTGTTGCACTTTTTGCATTCGTGTTACGCTTGAACTGCTCTGCTCTCAGCCAATCAGAATCGTTTAATTTCTTCATGTATATTATTAATTTTGTAAGTACACTCAATCCTGGACATAAGTGCACTTGTTCGCGATACAGCTGGCCTTCTTACAGGGGTGGGTGACTTAGCTCAATATGTAGTTCTCATAAAACATTCCCACTGCATGTAATTCTCTCGGGCTACAGTGTAAACGTTACAGAAGTTTGCAAATGTATTACAACATTGTACTTGAGAGTGAATGAGGCTAAATGATGGTGAATGAGGGTGAATGAAGGTGAATGAGGCTGAATGATGGTTTATGAAGGTGACTGACGGTGAATGAGAGTGACTGATGATGCATGAGGGTGAATGAGAGTGACTGATGATGCATGAGGGTGAATGATAGTGAATGATAGTGTATGAACGCGAACGGGGGTGAATGAAGATGAATGAGGGTGTATGCAGGTGCATGAGGGTGAATGATGGTGAATGATAGTGTATGAAGGTGAATGATAGTAAATGAAAGTGAATGAGGGTGATTAATGGTGTATGAAGGTGCATGAGGGTGAATGAGGGCGAATGAGGTTGAATGATGGTGAATGATGGTGTATGAAGGTGAATGAGGGTGAATAGTGGTGTAGGAACGTGCATGAGGGTGAATGATTGTGAATGATGGTAAATGAAGGTGAATGAGGGTGAATGATGGTGAATGAAGGTGTATAAAGGTGAATGAGGGTGAATGAGGGGGAATGAAGGTGAATGAGGGTGATGGAGTATGAAGATGAATGATGGTGAATTAAGATGATTGAGGATGAATGAGGGTGAATGGTGGTGTGTGAAGGTAAATGAAGGTGAATGATGGTGTATAAAGTTGTATGAAGGCGGATGAAAGTGAATGGAGGTGAATGATGGTGAATGAGGATGAATGATAATGAATGAAGAAATATGAAGGTGACTGAAGGTGAATGGTGGTGTATGAAGGTGAATGAGAGTGAATAAAGGTGAATGAGGATGAATGATGGTGAATGAGAGTGAATGAGGGTGAATGATGGTGAATGAGGGTGAATGAAGGTGAATGAGGGTGAATGATGGTGTATGAAGGTGAACGATGGTGTATGAAAGTGTATGAAGATGAATAGAGGTGTAGATAGGTGAATGGAGGTGTATGAAGGTGAATGGAGGTGTATGAAGGTGAATGGAGGTGTATGAATGTGAATGAAGGTGTATGAATGTGAATGAAGGTGTATGAAGGTGAATGAGAGTGAATGAGGGTCAATGAGGTTCTATGAGGATGAATGATGTTGTATGAAGATGAATGAGGATGAATGATGGTGTATGAAGGTGAATGAAGGTGAATTAGGGTGAATGAGGGTGAATGAAGGTGAATGAGGGTGAATGAAGGTGAATGAGGGTGAATGAAGGTGAATGAGGGTGAATGAAGGTGAATGAGGGTGAATGAAGGTGAATGAGGGTGAATGATGGTGTATGAAGGTAAATGAGGGTAAATGAGAATGAATGATGGTAAATGATGGTGAATGAAGGTAAATGAAAGTGAACGAGGGTGACTGAACATGAATGAGGGTGTATGAAGGTGTATGAAGGCGAATGAGGGTGAATGAAAATTAATGAGGGTGAATGAAGGTGAATGAGGGTAAATGAAAGTGAATGAGGATGAATGAAGGTGTATGAACGTGTATGAAGGCGAATGAGGGTGAATGAAGATAAATGAGGGTGTATGAAAGTGCATGAGGGTGAATGAGGGTGAATGAGAGTGAATGATGGTAAATGAAGGTGAATAAGGGTAAATGAACGTGAATGAGGGTGACTGAACGTGAATGAGGGTGTATGAATGATCGTGGATGAGGCTAAATGAAGGTGAATAAGGGGGAATGAATGTAAACAAAAGGTGAACTAGGTATTATCAGCGGTATTGGGTATGGTCAGCGTTTTATTATCAAAAGGCTCGGAGCCATTCCTACAATTAATGGCTACTAAAACTGTCGCCATCTCCCATATTTACAGTTTGTGTCCTGACAAAAATTTCAGTCATGCGTATTAAAGTTTGAAGGAATCAATCCCAGCCTTCTTTGCAACATAAGCGCCCCTCCCCTCCCCCTGGTTTATGGACGAGTACTGAGACAACAAAGGATGTATAGTTAAGTGTTCAATCACAAGCAAGTAATTATCGACTTATTCAAGCACTACACACACTGACTGTCGCAACGGACAGTAGTGAAGATCTGCTGATTCATTGCCTAATATAAAAGTCCAGTAAAGGGGCATAAAGGCCAACGGTTAAAAGGGTTATTACATAGTTCTTCAAGAGAGACAGGATCCTTCTGAGACTTCTAAGGACTGACACATACATATATTACAAAAAAAAAGATCATATCTGACCACGCTTTGGGAAAAAATTTTATAAGCGCTCCCCTCGATTCAGCGACTTCCTCGAATAAGCGAAGACGTGAAGACATGAAGGATACGATCACAAAACATATCAATAGTTATGAGGGGATCACTTTAATGAAATAACATTTAAAGGGGGATCAGCTAAATGTTACTGTCTTCAGCCGAAAATCCTCCGAGCCCCTTTCCCCCCCCCCCCCCCCCCCCC